CATCGAGGTATTCTTGAAGCTGTCTGGGAAACTCGACGCTGAAGCCGACTCAGACAGTTGCTGCTTTTTCTTTTGCTCGATGCAAAGGCGAGCGTCGGAAAATGTCTTCTTGGTGCCATCCAGCTGAACTTGCCGAATGTCCTTCCTCTTTCCAGGCTCGGGCAAGCGGAATTTTGTCCAATCTATCAAGGTCCGAGCCTTTTCCCTAGTACTGGGGTGTGGAGTGGGCTCTCGGTCCTTGAAAGACTTGTTCTTCTCAAAATATCTTGGCCGATTGACCCCTGTTGGAGTCAGACGTCCTTTTGGTGATCAGGTCCTTTATCTCCCCCTTGAAACTTGCCATGAATTTCATAAGCTCGCCTCTGGTGACAAGGTTAGTCCCTCTTGCCGCCTGGGGCTGGATAGATGGCTGGCCAGATGACAGGCCTGGGCCTGATTGATTGTTGCCCCGTTCCCTTTTATCCTTGGGACGGACGCGTCTAGTTTTGAGTGACCCATCTTCGGCCACATATGTTTCGACTTCAAAGTTGTCATCAGTATCATGGTCCGACTGGACCAGTACTTCAGTCGTAGGCTCCTCATCAATAGCAGTCGGTACATGTTCTTGAGAAACCATCTTAGAGGTACTCTCCCCACAGACAACACCAAATGTTTCGGGGATTTCTGTGTCCCTCGGGAGAGTTACATCACTAAGTCCAGATTCCGATGCCTGTACCTGCAACACAATGGAGACTCCGGTTGGTAGGAGCTCTGCATCAGACGATCAAGTTAGAACCGGTCGAATAATAGTAAAAAGAGCGGAAAGTGAAAGTAGATCTTCTTAGATTCCGAGATCAGGTGATTTCTCTGATGTAAGAGAATTGATTGAATGTAATAAATGAACGTGCCCCCAAAATTGGGGGAATCTCCCTGTCTATAGGGTCCTCAGGATTTGTGCCCTTGTTTAGGTCACGAAAACCTAGGACTGTTAGGTAGTGCCGTTTTGCGGCTATCTCGGGAATTGGGCCTTGAAGGCCGTCTTTTTCCCAGTTATTTTGGAATGCCATGTGTCAATGGGGGATTGGTCCATTTTGGACCTCCCCTAGGGTGACAAGTGTCACCATGGTATTTTTACCCAAATTAGGATGTACATCAAATGGATGTGCATAATGCTTTCTTGCATGGTGATTTAGAAGAAGATATATATATATATATATATATATATATATATATATATATATATATATATATATATATATATATATATATATATATATATATATATATGAAAGTTCCCCCGGGGTTTCAGAAAAACAATTCTGAAAAACTGTGGAAGATGAAAAAAAATCTTTGTATGGATTGAAACAGGCTCCGAGATGTTGGTTTGAAAAATTGTCCAAGGCTTTGAAGAAATATGGTTTTAAACAGTCATACTCCGACTATTCTTTATTCACTCTTTCGAAGGGTGGAATGAGTGTCTTGATTTATGTGGATGATATGATAATTGAAGGAAATAATACATTTGCATTGGAGAGTTTTAAGGCATACTTGAGTGAATGTTTTAATATGAAAGATTTGGGAGCCTTGAACTATTTTTGGAGGCTAGAAGTGGCACGCAGCAAACACGATTTCTATGTATGTCAACGTAAGTATGTATGGATATTGTATCTAAGGCAGGGTTACTAGGATCAAAGTTGGTAGATTTTCCGATGGAGCAAAATCATAAACTTGCTATGGCAGTGGGGAAGGAGCTCGCAGATGGTGAACACTATAGGTGATTGGTTGGCCGTCTGATATACTTGGCAGTCACTAATATGTTCATTTAATATAGTGTTTTACCCTCGTCCCTTGGTCATATTTAGGAATATTTTTGGCTCTTCGGAGTCACTTTTATTACTAATACGCGATTTCTAGTGTTTTCGTAGATTTGGTACTATTTTATAGGAAAAAACAGATTTGAATTGAAGCATTTTCCCGTACTTATTTGAGCCACTACGAGCATTCGAGTAGGATCACATTATTATGACCATATTCCGTAGCCCAAGATCGCATTGGAGCAATCAACCGGTGATTAAGGGCTTGGTGAAGAAGAAGAGTTCAAGGCATTGGGCCGATTCTTAAAGACCCAAGAGGAAACTCGGATTGGGCTAGTTAAGAGCCCAATTGAGATGTCCAAGTTGCCAAGAAGCTCGCCCGATCCGAGTAGCCCTCGCCCTGAGGTGCGCTCGGCCGAGCGAGGCACATAGGAAGAAGACGCCCTTCGCCCCGGGCGTGAGCGAAGAAGCCACCAGCAAAAAGGCAGGCCCAGCCAAGCGAAGCTCCACCCAACCGGGCGCGTGTTTCTAAGAAGAGTTTTGACGATTTAATTTGTTTTATTTTAATTAGGATTTTTGTGCTTAAGTATAAATACGTTTTTATGCTAGATACTATTACGTCTTTTTCATTAGTTAATTTCCAGATTTTAGTTTTAGGCTCTTAGTTAATACTCTTGTTCTTTCTTTCTCTACACTTTAGTTTATGCAATTTAATATTTCTGTTTATTTTGGTAACGATTTCTTCCCTCTTATTTTCAGTAATTAATAGCTTTGATTAATTATGTCTATTTTATTTGCTTTGCTTAGTTTAGATTTAAATATGCGTGAGTAGTTTATTTTCTAGGGTTGTGGGGATCCATAAATAATATGAAGGGGTAATTTATTATTGTTGATTGTTAATGCTTTGGTTGATTTCCTATTGATTAATTTAATACTATGCAATTAGATTAGCGCTGGTTTAATTGTATGAGTTACGCAATATTGATTCGAGATTCGAGAGATGAGAATTGATGTTTAGGCTTAGTTTCAATAGGCAGGTTAATTTATAAATGGTTAAGTCAAGATTCGAGAGATGCGATTTAATACCGGTAGATTAATTCTGTGATTGTAATACATAGCGAAAGCCCTTTATGATCTGATCAAATGATGCATTGATAATTTATTATTGTGTTTTACCTTGGAATATTATTTATTGGTGAACCTATACCCTAGGCTTTTTATTGTTGATTATTCCGTTAGTTTAATTATAGCCTGTAGTATAATTCTCACAATTCTTACTTGTTTCGTGATAATGTAGATTATATTAATTAATTAGGAATAGAAGACTTGTTTACCTGTGGATTCGACCCTACTTCCTTATCTATTTTCGTTAGTGGTTTTAGGAATTGCTTTTGATTAGGTAATACGACTTTAGCCTGTCAAAATTTGGCGTCGTTGCCGGGGAGACGATTTTTTTTTTTATTCCTGATTGTTTCTCACTACAAAAAAATGAAAAATAGGCAACACATAAAATTGCAACTCTTTAAAAATCGTTATCCATGATAGTCTATGGCAACAATTCATATTTGTTACTTTAAATAAAACAATTTATACTAGATTAAAAGACAACATTTATAAAAGTGTTGTCGTAGACTTTGTAAGACAACGATTGCTTAAAGTGTTGCCATTTTATCCTCTAAGGCAACATTTATGAAAAATGTTGCTTAAAAAAGACAACGAAAACAAAACTGTTGTCTAATATAGTAACACTAACATTTATGTTGCACTCTATGACAACAACTTACTAAAAGAAGGCAACATAAATTATGATGTTGTCCACAATATGTGGGAGAATGCATGATTATGTGCCTATAATTTATATTGGATGTTCATATAGGTAAGTTGTCTTAAAATGAATGAACACGTTTGTAAACTAAAAAATTATATGCATATTATATATTTACAACAAATTTTGGATATCAAGCTTAAATAAAAAAATAATATATTTTTATAAGAAATGACATTGAGAAGGCTATCAATTAAGACTATAATATATGTTTAAAAGATTATAATATATTTAAGTTAGGAGTAACATTGAAATGGCTATTTATTAAAATATGATAGTGACATGGTTAAATGAAAAGATGTATAAGTAGATCCACGTGTAAGTAACTATATCAAATCGGTTTATCGAAAGGAGTCTGGTGTGACCAATGATGGCTCGGGTCATAATGGGTCAAGAATATCCCTTTGACCCACATCGGTTTGGGTTGGATTAATTAATGGATCAAATGAATTTGGGTTGGGTTAGCTCCAATTCGAATAATTTCGATTCAATATTTGGTCGTGTTTACTATTTGGATCCTTTCAATCAAGTTTGGGTAAATTTGGGTTAGGCTGATCAAATTCATTTTTATTAAAAGAGTTACATTATTGAGTTATTATATCGAGTAGTTCATGGGCCATTCTTTATATCATTTTGCTAACTTTTATTCATCTTCTCGTCATATAATTTTTGTATTAGCTTTATTTTTAAACCATATTATTATCAAAATATCTATAACTAACTATATACGTGATATAATACTTATAGTGAACTAATGATAGATTCATATCCACATACAGTTAGGCTTTGTTCACTTCACCTTAAAAATGAATATGTAAAAATGATTTTAGTTTAGTAGAAATAATTTCAGTTCAGTAATTATAACTTTAGTTCAGTAAAAATAATCTCATTTCAGTAAAAATCAGTAATTTTAAAGAAGTAATATAAAAGATATTAAAATGAATAATTTCATTTCAGTAAATTTAATTTAAGTTCAACATAAATAATTTTAACTCGATAAAAATAGTTTGTGGTCAGCAAAAATAAGGTGAAGCGTTTAGGGTGTCACTCTAGCCGTATAACCTTATAAGGTAAACTTGTTAGTAATTGGTAAATATAATTATATAAGAACTTGAATAATTAAAGTAAATAAAAGAACTTGATTTTGGGTCTTATGAGTCACAAGTTGAAATAGTTTGGGTTGAACACGTTGCATTGTAAATAGTTTGGATTTAAAGGTTATGTAACAAATTTAAAATGTTTTATTTGTTTAAATTGTGCATTGCAAGAGACTAATCTAGTATATACTAATATTGTACACCTTATAAAATTTTTTTTTTTTTTTGATAAAATCTAAAATACATTGTGTTTTTATTAAAATACTTACATCTTGACAATTTTATGAGACTTATATTTACCTATAAAATAAATATAGTACTTATCTCCAAAAGATAATTCCAATAAAATAACACAAAAAAGTGAAAATAATTCATTAACTTTCATCTCCTAAACCACCAAAGATGGTGAAATTTTTTAGCTTCAATATTTTCCCACTAAAAGAATCAGTTATCATTAACCCCAGGTTTCATTTCTTCATCTCACTAGAACATTCCCATGTCAACCTTGGGTGTCACGGCCCATTTGTTATTTCAATTTCTTTTCCACTTAATCTTTACCAAATTAATTTAATACTTCCTCCCGAAAACCGAATTCATCTCACAGTAATTCCCATAAATTGCTGGAATCAAGCTTACACCTGCGAAAGTTATGGCGGAGCTTTCTCAACAACCAACAACTCCGGCCACCGCAAATCTAATTTTCGACGACGATTGCTCTATTGACAGTGATTCCTGGTCTATAAAGATTTAAAAGAGAGTATGAAGACGAGCTCTCGCTGCTGCTAATCTCCGCCCTTCCTCTAATTACAGGTTCTCTCTCTAATTCTCTGATTTTAATTAGTATTAGGTATTTCTTCGAAAAAATAATGTAATGGTACGGTTTTTTTCAGGTACCCACTTTGGTTTTGTTCTTGGTTTATTGAAACTCCACTTAATTCGATCTGGGCATCTTATTTTTTCTCTTGTTGAGGTAAATTTCAATAATTATTTTGTGGGGTTACTCCTAATTTGAACATTCTTATTTGTTATATTCTCTTTGGTTATATCTTATATGGAAAGCAAAGATGTTTTGTGGATGAAATTTGATGTGTGAGATTCAAATTCAGAGATTTTTTATAATTAATCTTGACATAGTTGATTTTTGCTGTCATTGTTTTCGTCATAACCTACATTTCTATTATATAGTACTTTATTAAACTTCTTAGTCTACATGTGTTTGCGGAAGGCAACCATATGACCTTAGATTTCTAGAGAACTTTTGAATGTTTTAGCACTTGATTCTTAGAGAAAAACTCTTTTTAGCTAAAACTTTAGATCAATAAATAGAGACAGGAAGGTGGTGATCCCCACACCAAATTCATGTGATATAAAATATAGCCTACTAATTATTTTCAATCTAAAAAACTACTACTAACATTGAATATATATATCTAGATTTATTCTAGATCATGATGGCACTATGATTATCACAGAGTTGATATAGCCTACTCCTTTTATATCTATTTTGATTTCTCATGCTTATTCTTATTGATTCATACGAGATTACATGTAAAGTGGATATAAACGAACTTAGTTGCATATAGATTCCTGGATAATCATCCACTATCAATTTAAGGTTCCATGCTTGTGTTTAAACATCATTCTGGCCAATATCAAGAATTTGCAAAGCCTTTTTAATTTATGTTCAATTAAATATTGGCTAATTTGCATGTGTTTAAATCCTTTGTGGTCTTATATTTATCATCTATGTACAGGATTTGCCTACAATGATTGTAGTTGCAGAATAAATATTGGTTGATTTGTAAGAAGCTATGCATTATTCATCAATCTTTTGCAAGAAGTCAAAAAGGCAGTGTATACAATGTTGCTAAAGAATCTCAAATCTACCACAGGTTTGTAAACATGATTTCTGACTTCCAATTAGGTTTTTCTGTTGAAATTATTTGACCAAATATTAAAAAATATACTTGAATTTTCTTAGAACCCAAATTTCTTTTACTAGTTGCTGATTGCGTTGGGCTGCTTTCTAAATACTGTTTGTTATCCTTTTAGAGCTTCTTTACCATGCGTGCTAAGATAGTGTTCATTGCTGTCACTATGATAATTTTTAATTTTATGTTTAGAGTATAGAAATCTACCACCCAAGATTCGAGATTTAGAGGGATGGGTGGGAAATGGTGGGGGAGGTGGTTCCCTTCTGTAATGAGTGATATATATTGAATGTTCTCACAACTGATTGCATTTGTTGAATGAAATCTATGAAAAAAGCATTTAGCATGAATACATGAAGTCGTAAATGACTTAAACTTCAGAACATGTATTGCTCATTGTTACTTTGTGGGATGTCATATTTAGTTACGGTTCTTGAACATTCTCTCATCAATATAATGTGTCCCATTCTATAGTTTTTACAAAGACTAGGGGCTTTAAGAACTATGTACATATGTCATAATACATGAGCTCCTATCAATTAGTTAACCTACAGTGATAAGGCAAATCATTGAAGTCCTGCTTGAGAGAATGAATCGAGCATAACTAAGTCCTGTCCTAAAGGGTTAAAAGGGCTCTAAACATTACTTACAATTTTAATTTTGCACGTATAATTTAACCATTGAACAATTTTTTTTTCAAGGATTAATGTTAGGATCAATTAAAAGTGGATCGGGATTTGGGAATGAGTGTTACAAAATTGGTAGAACTACCCCTGCACTTATGTCTTGCCCAAGGCACCACCCATAATTTGTGTTGCCTACACTACTCCACTCGGCAACAGTTGGTGCCTGCTGCTATTTTACTGTTGCTATTGTAGCTGCCCACTACAACTCCTCAATGCTTACGTTACTCATAGCCTTTCAAATACTGAATGTAACAACTTAAATCTTTTATATATGCTTCTTTGTGAGGATTCATGGGTGTGCAATAATGGTTGTCTTTACTACAATCCTGTCCAGTTTTAGCATAGAGTAAAATTGCATCTTATCGATTAGGGAAATTACTTTTCCTTAAAGACAACCTTTTACACTTGTTTATTTATTGTGTCATTTGTGTGTAGCAGAAAGAAAAGAGGTTGTCATACTAACTTTAGATGCTGCAAAGTTGGACTCAATTACCAAGCAATAGGACATTTGTAGGTTGCCACTGCATTAGTGAGTTCAATTATCTATTTATCTTACCTAATGTGTTATTTATAATAATCATTATGAATATACCTAAGATTTCTAATGATCTATTAGACACTAAGAAAATGAGATTCAGGTTTGCTACCAAACAACAGCAACTTGCTGCACACCTTAACTCTTTGACCAGCAGGCTGCATCTCACCCTCTTTTTTAATCAATGCCCATGAGGACTCCGCACATTGAATTCCTTCACATTGAGTCCTAGCCCCTCCATATCACCAGGAAGCAGCGCATTGCACTACATTGGCTTCAACGGATGTTCAACAAACTAATGTAAGGTAGCAAAAAAATGTTGAATTTCGGAATTACGTTTACATCATTAGTCTATGAGCTATTTCACATTTAAGTGTCGCTTTCTACATATGTAGCGCAGCTAGCTGATTAAAAATTATTGCCATTGTCACTTGATTACATGTGTTTATTGATGGAAAAATCACTATATAACATTCAGTTACATGCTGCTTGTTTTTTTTTAATTTTCGTTGTTATATCCTTAAGGGTATTGATTAGTTATGCTCCTACTTGGGCTATATGGGTTGTTTTAGTCGTGGTAGTGTTGTAATGAACAAGCATAACTTCAAGTTTACTAAAGAGTGGTAAATCGACAATGAATTCAAACTTTGGTCTTAAGTTGAAGGTGTTGTTGTTATTACTCTTGGTATCTAGATGATGCAGATGTTGCTTGTGTTCTCTCTACAAAGGAAACAAAGTTCCTTAATTTTCTAATGCTTTGCCTTGTGTGCACAAGTTCTCTTTGTTGGTCGTTGATTTGCTAGTGCCCATCGTTGGTGTTGCTGCTTGTTGTTTCTTATGCTATATTTGCTTGCTGATATGCTCACAGCTCGTTACCTTGTCGTTTCTTGCTGATGTGGTCATCATTACTTGTTACCTTTTCGTAATGTGTTGTAAAAACTTGTAATATTTTTATTATTATTATTTTTTTTTTTTACAGATGCTAATAAATTTTATTATGTTTAGGATGTAATATTACAAGTATTTGATAAATTAAAAATTCAATTTTTTTTTTAACATATATACTAGTGTGTGTATATCATTTAATGTAAAAAAAATATTTTATTACTTATAATAAAAGATAAAAATAGTTGATTCATTTTAACTTGTTATGTTAACAAGTAACAATTTCAAGATTGTTGCCTTTATGAAATTCGACAGCATATATTAAAGCTAGCTAACAAATACAACAAGTGAAAGGTTGTTGCATTTTATAGCATAATGTGACGATTTTGAATTATTGTCTAAGGTTGCAACAGTTATTATTTGTTGCCTTTGTAAAAGTGTTGTCTTAGATATCATTTTGCTTTTGCAAATAAAATTGTTGCCTTTAGATAAAAATGTGTTGTCTTAGGAATAGACAACAGGGGCATAAACTACGCCTCATATGTGTTGCCTTAGCTACAAGGCAACACTTTTTCTACATTAGGCAATGGTTTTTCAATGTTACCTATGCTTTATTTTGTTGTAGTGTCTGTAGTCTAGATTATTTTCTTTAGTCTCAGAGAATGCAAGTTCTTTGGGATAGTTTCTCATATTTGTCTGTTTAGTTATGTGTTTGTGCCCAGGAGTTCTAGATCAGGTTACATTCCATTTGATCCTGAAATCGGACGTTCTTTTCATAGACAGAAGAACCTTTTTAGATAGGTACGAGCTACTTTCGAGGGTAATACACCTTTGGAACCCTCATCTGATTCTAGCGACATAGAAGTTTCTTCAAAACCAAAATCAGAGATGACGGCTCAACTACCTCGCAAGCTCAGCAATTATTCGCAGCCGTCCCTAGCAGATTTTCCACATCTTGCTCCCACACCAAATCTCGAGGGGGTACAATTCGAGATTAAACCCCAGTTTATTACTATGATCAAAAGGAAGCAATTCAGTGGAGCTAAAGGTGAAGATCCAAATCTTCACATCTTGGATTTTTGCCAATATTGCAACACTATTTTAGACAAGCTGGGGTCACGCAGGACCAAATCAGGGAGATTCTTTTTCCCTTTTATTTATGTGGTAAAGCTAAATTGTGGTACAATGGATAGAATAGAACTGCACTTGGTATTACTGACTGGGAAACTCTTGCTTTGAATTTCTATGATAAATACTACCTTGCAGAGAGGACAGCTTTGTTAAGGAGTTCTATCCAAAACTTTTCCCAAGAAGCAGATGAATCTTTATATGAAGCTTGGGAAAGATTTAAGGATTGCAGAGGGAATGCCCCCATCATGGGCTAGCACAGTGGCAGATAATGCAAGCATTCTACAACGGGCTTGGATAAAATTCAAGAATGATTTTGGACTCTGCAGCTAACGAAAGATTTAGGAATTTGGATGTGAATATAGCGAGCAATGTTGTTGAAGAGATGGCTATTCATAATTCCCAATATAGGAATCCCAAAGGATTTGCAAATAAGGGAAAACACCAAGTCAATTCTATATCCTTTTTGCAAGCACAATTGACTGCTATTAGCCAGAAACTAGACAATATCAATAATTCTAATTCATCTTCCTTTGCTAATGTTTCTGCTATTGGTACTAACTCTGCAATAATTTGTGAAAATTGTGGTCTTATAGGTCATTGGGCGCAGGAATGTGGGAGTTCACTTGATAAGATTAATGTTTTTCAGACCTATAAGCAAATTAATCCGTACTTTAACACCTACAATGCAGGGTTGAAAAATAACCAAAATATGTCGTACAATAGTACGAATGTGCTTAATCCCCCACCACAGGTACAACAACCACAACAGAGGTACTACTAACCTCCACATTTGAGACCACAACAGGCTGTTATTCCTCCTTCTGATTTCAGCCTATCTGAAATCAAAACTATGTTAGCCAATATGAAGAAGCACATGCAGAGTAGGGATGTGCAAATTGATTTGATTCTAGCTTATAATAAAATCATGGACAATCAAATTGCGTAACTTTCCTCTGCTCTACAAACTCGCTAGCAGGGAGCCCTACCATCGCAGCCAGTACAACCTACAGATCACGTGAATGCAATTACCCTGAGAAGTGGTTCAAAATACGATGGGCCTTCTATGCCTAAAGATGATGAACCTATCATTACAAATATTGCTAATCTTGATTTTGTTATACCAAATATTGTCGTTACTAGCCCTGCAAGGCTCTAGGGTAAAACTAACATTTCTGATGATACATTGCAGGGTACAACTCCAAAGAAAGATATAACTCAAGACAAGAGTGGAGATGTACAGAAACCAGTTATCAAACTACCATTCCCTAATAGACATCTTAAGAGTAAGCTAGATAAGCAGTTTGGTAAGTTTCTGGAGGTTGTCAAGAATTTGTAGGTAACGATTCCTTTCACAGAATTAATTACTCAAGTTCTTGCATATTCTAAATTCATGAAAGAAATTTTGACTAGAAAAAGATCAATTAGTGAGGTAGAGACGGTTGCTTTTACTGCAGAATGTAGTGCTATATTACATAATAAATCTCCACCTAAATTAGAAGATCCGAGTAGTTTTTCTATTCTTTGTCATATTGGTAATCTGATGATTGATAAAGCTTTATGTGATTTAGGTGCTAGTGTAAGTGTCATGCCATTATCTATGAGCTCTAAATTAAATATGGATAAATTAAAAGCTACCAATATTACTCTGCAAATGGTCGATCGTTCTGTTAAATACCCTTTAGGTGTTTTAGAGGATGTTCCTGTTAGAGTAGGTAAATTTTATATACTTATTGATTTTGTTGTTCTTGATATGGAGGAAGATTTGCAAATTCTGATTATTTTAGGTAGACCATTCCTTCATACTACAGGGGCAATAATAGATGTGAAAAGTGGTAAACTTACATTATGTGCAGGGGATGATAATATTACTTTTAACCTAAATAATATCCCTAAAAGCCCCATGTTAGAAGAAAAGTGCTTTAGTATTGGTTTGATCAATGTAAATAACTTTTCTGATAAGCCCCAAGCTCTCGTTAGAGATCCCTTGGAGCCAGTATTTCGTGTTTCATCTTCCGCAGGAAAAACTACTACATGGAAAGATGAAATGGATGCTATAGAAGGAGCTCTAAATTGTGTAGGGCTTGGTTTTGAAGATGAACAAGTGGAGAAAAATGAACAAGTTGCATGCGAGAATCGAGCCCGTAGTGAAAGTCCCACTCGATCGGGTGACATCTGCTCAATCAAGCAAAATTACGAAGAAATTCAAGGCCAAAGACAAAATCTCGAGTAGCTAGTAGCAAGAAACCACCTGTCCTATATCATGAAGGGGCTACGATTAGTGCAGTTGAATTACTTCACCTGATCGATTCCATCTCATCCTGATCGACATATGGTAAGAAGGTCGTGCGGGACCTAGATAAACCAGCGCTTTGCGGGAGGCAACCCGTATTTTCTTGCTTTTTAGAATATTTTTTCCCTTATTTTTGTCTTTTGAGAGGAAGAGAAGAGGGAATTTAATGTGTTTTAGAGTATTTTGTACAGGTTGGAGAAAAAGAATTAGCCAAATTTTGAAGAAAAGAGGAAAAATCGGACTCTAGTGCTGTAGTGCGGCCGACCGGGCCCGAGAGGAAGTCCGTATATGAGCAAAAATCGCCTGACCGGGCACGAGAGGAAACGCATTTGGAATCTTAAACTCGCCCGACCAGGCGAGGATCAGCCCGACCGGGCGCGAGCCTAACGATTTTAAATTCACCGAATTGCCCGGTCGGGCGGGCGCACGCCGGTCGGGCGGCGCCTTTCTTTTCCCCCATAGATTTCCTCTTCTTTCTCCTTTCTTCTTCTTTATTTCTTCTTTCTTTCTCTTTCCTCAATAGTTTCTCTCTCTAAAACTCAATTTTCTCTGCCTTCTCTCTAAGATCTCTCCTCCGATTCTCACCCAAATTCAGATTTTTTTACATATTCCTTCTCCTCTCTTCACCCTCTTTATTTCTATCCTAATTTTGTTTGTTTTTGAAACAAAAAAAATTGTAGACCCATATTCAAGATGTTTGGAAAGAGGGCAAGAACACAAGGGGGACGCAGTTCAAGCTCGAGTGCACCGGTTGACCCGGCTGTACAACTACCTCAATGGCCAACGATCAAGATTACAACTTCGCAACAACGTGAACGGCTCATCAACCTCTACGAACAGGAGGAACATCCCTCTCGGTGGTTACACTGAGACACCTTTCAATCTTTAGGTTTATATGAGCATGTTAGACGTTTTATGAACGATATTGGCATGCGAAAGTTTATAGATATGCACTATCACTACTAGAAAACATCTAATCAACGACGGAAAAAATCCGTCGGAATATCCTGAAATTCCGTCGGAACTGTCGGTTTCCGACGGAATTCCGTCGGAATCCACTGTCGCAAAACATTTTGTAGGTATTTCGCTATATTCCGACAGAAATTCCGTCGGAACGGTCAGTTGCGACGGAATTTCCGACGTAATTGAGACTGTC